TCTGCACGGTTATTGTTAGACATTTTACTTTCTTAGACAATTTCATGTTCCCATTAATTAGTTAAATCGTGAGAAATTCCTGGATTGTGAATCATTAAAAACATTAATAAATAAGTATGCTTTTTAGAATGCATTTTTTTTTCTTAATTTAAGTAGTAAAAGGAGATCAAAATTCAATAAAACAGTAAAAAATTATTCAAAGAACTGCTAATAACTAATTAAGTGATCAAAAGAGAGATTTAGTTATAGATTTGTTCTGTTAAATTATATGTAGCGGAGAAGATATTTATTTAATAATTAAAATCCCTGTAATTAATAAACTTAATGTATTAATAGAAATATAAGGTGAGAGATGTCGAATTGGAGATTAAACTCAACTATGACGTCACCGAAACTGAGAGAGTTGCAATTACTGAAGGAAATCCTTCTTGCTCACTTACTTTGAGAGGATAAATCAAAAGAAAAAGATACTCCCACTCTCATCCTCCTCCAAACAATAATTAAACTGTGATCTAAAACTCTCCTTTATATTTCTCATAAAGTTTTAATATCAAAAATATTATTAAATTCTTCTGTTTGTTCGCCATATGAGCACTACAAACGAGTTAATTTCCTAAATTTTGAACCCGTTTCATACTATTTACTTCCTTGTTATAAAATGATAACTAGATCTTGCTAGTATTTCCTGCAACATCAATGAAGTTCTCGTTACACTGTTTTGTTTATAAATTAAATAATAATAATAATAATAATAATAAAACTAAAACATTTAAAATTAAAAATAAACATAATAAAATTGTATATTTTTGTATTTGTCTCGAATAGATTTTATATTTTCTCTATTATTTCAATTTAAAGCGTATTCGTTTTGTCAAGAATACTACAGTATATATAATACTTTGACGTCACTTTGACGTTATTCCTATATTTTTGTAATTAAAAGAAGAAAAATGAAGTCAGATTGACGTAATACAATACACTGATTACGCAACTATTACGAAATATCGGGGGTTTGAATGTAAAGAAAATGAGAACGTGATACAGATTCGTGGAGCTAAATATAAAGAAACAAAACATTGTTTCTATTAAAGTTATGTATACTGTATACACCCACTTTCATTAATCTTGAATGTAATTAAAGGTTTCCTTTACTTTTCCACTCGCATCCGGATGTTTATGGATAGGGTAAGCACGTAATCTTCCTTTTTTTCCCTTTATAAACGTCATTTTTTTACTACTTTCATTTCTCTATCAATTTGCAATATAAAAATCTAAATTTACCCTTCAAATTTTATGTAATTTAAGGTAAAATACTGTAAAATATTTTATAAAATGAAGTGAAAGTTTAACAGTGACGATCAACATTCGAACTTTGGTATATTATATTTGTTTCAAACGTTTCTAACGAACTTAATAAACGTTCTGTTCGGATCCAAGACCGGATTTGCGAATAAGCTTTAGTTTAAGGCCTTACATTTTTATATGAATTATTATAATACTTAATAGAAGAAAGGGCCCGTTATATATATTATAACTTAGAGCCACAAGTCTAATTTCAGTCCCAGTCGGATCGTATATAACTTCTCGAATTTTGCCTGCAAACACGTACGATAATCCGACACCACTCTAATTCCTTGGGTATCGGATTATTCAGAAATAAAATCTTCCAAAAAATTGAGGAATTCTTAATAACGAACGTGAAGTTTTTATGTTATAAAAAAAATAACGTTAATTATTTATAGAAATTCTTCAGAAATTTTATTATATTTTTTATTATTTAACTAGAGAAAAAAATCTAAGAAATTAAATTATGACATTCACACAAATATAAAAAAGCATTAAGCTTCTATTCTGTTAATTTTTACAATGGTTTGGCAGATAAAGTGATAAATTTTGTTGCATAATTCAAATAAATTTACGCATAAAACATGACCTTATGTTCATAATAGTTTAGAACGTTCTAAATTATCGAAAATAACAAGAAAGATGGTAAAAATATTTACTAAAGATAAAGGGAGAATAATTTACGTCACAGTTTCGTAATGAGATAAACACGATAACAGTTATAAAATAAATCTAATTTAACACTAATCACATGGATCAGTTACGACTTTAATAAGGTTTAATTCGATTTAAAAGACAATTTTGCTATTTATTTTCATCAGTTAAGGGAACGAAACAGGACGTGAACGTCATAGAAGACAATTGAGCTATGTCAATTATCGCAATATCAAATAAGTGTTAAAGATACGCCTCCCGGAAGCCAACAATTTGCTGTAGAGTAAATTTATTGAAATCAATTGAGAATCTCACATCTCACCTTATCTAATAAACTAGTTATAAGCATCACCGACGAATCAACATCTAAAAGACACATAATCTATTTATTTTTCTTAGATAAACAGGGCAAAGCAAATACAGAGTTCAAGTTCGATACGTCTCTTAACGAGTCGAAAAAAAACATGGAATTTCGATCTCTCCTCGTCGCGATAACCTCACTATATTCTGATAAAAAGATGCGGGTGCCATGTTGTGACGTCATTAATTAACGGATACATGCCCTAAGTGGGGAGATAGGAACGGAACTAGATTAGAAACCGTGACGTAATTTCTTGTATAGGAAGGAAAGGGAAATGTGGGATACGTTAATTAGTGTTATCGGGTTCCTTGTTACACTTTAACCTAATTTTTTCTAAGTTTACATTCCTTCTATCCTTCTTATCAAAGATGAAAGTTAAATACACGAGAATTTATCAATAAATTACTCCTTTATTAATAAGAAAATAATATTCAAAGTTCTATAACTTAATTCCGTATACCTCTATCGACAAATGAACTTAAAAAAAGAGAAGTTTCGCATCTTTTGATAACACGAAATACATAATGTTAGAATTTAGTTTTAGTAATTAGTAATTAGTAAAGTCTGTATAATTATTTATAGATAGATAATTAATTTAAATGATATACAAAGAACAAGATGCACATCTTCTACGTCACTCAAGAACTAGTGTTTATGCTGAACAATAACAGAATTGATCTTATCCACTAACTATGGAAACAAGTCGAAGTCCAAGGAAATAGCAACAGATTTTATCGATAGTTTATCGTTTAATATATTATGTTACAGAAAATAACTCCATTAAAATGGGAAAATGGGAGAAGAGGAAGGAAGTGAACAGACGTCTTCGAAGAATCCTGAAGGCTTCGAAGAATCTTGAAGGTATTTATAAAAGAGATTACTTTAAAGACTGCATAAAGTTCGCACTGTTGTTCTAATGGGTAAACAATAGTATCTTAATTTCTATACCGAAAAATAAAACGAATAAGAAGAAATTTCAGAGAGATAACTTAAAATTTTATAAGAATCTTGGTAACAGAAAGAAGATAAAGAAGTGTTATCTTGTTTCAAAATATTACCTATATCAGAATAGGAAAATATTACCCACAGTAACAAAGCTGTTTAGCTCTAGTTACTTTATTTTCAACTCGGAAAAAGAAGATAAAGGTATTTTTCCGGATTTATTTTTGCAGGCATCATAGATTAAAGCGATAATAGCTCGGAAATGACACTATGATCCGATTATTCGTCACTATTTTCGACTGTTTCCGGAACTTAACTCGACATTCATATCACTGTCCATTTACACAGTTACTCGAGGGACCAATTTTCTGATACTTTCGTAAGCAGCAGAGAGGAGAGAGGAAGAATAAAGATACGTCACAAGCGATGTTATCAATCCAAAAATTCAAAAAAACTCCTAATAACGTAACAGAATCTGATGGAAAAGTTCCTTTAAACCTTCTATTTTTGTTATAAAACGCATAATTAACACGACTGTAGAGGAATTATTAGACGAGTAGAATATAAAATCATATATCCATAATTCACAGATTCATAATGACAAAAATACTATTAAATGTAGAGATTTATTGGACAATTTTCTTACTTGTAAGAAAACTATGATCTATAACGTATGGAAGCTATTGTATATGATGGCATAGCTTTGATGTGAAGAAAAATGTGTAGAGAAGAAACTTTTCTACAAAATTTTTATATAAAATAGAAAGATTCTTGTTTGTTTTATATAAAAATTATAGGAAACGAAGTGTAATTCAAGGACAGAGAACAACAGGAGATTATACAAATTGAGTAAAGCTTTAAACGATGGTAACAATACATTTTCTGTGTTGTACACGAATAAAGATTTTATCGTTGATTCCAAGGTTAAATACAGAAATATGGATTTATAAAAATGAATATATTCTTTATAATTGATAGAGTACAATTCACAAACATACGAAATAAATAGAGAATAAAAAATAATAAGAAAAAAATATGACTTTTTAGATTTGTAAGAAAAGAAAAGTCAAAAAATCTATGTGGAAAGTTTTAAAGAAGTTTATAAAATTAGTTTAAATTCGTTCTTTCATCTTTACAATTTTGCGAAGAGATGCGAAATCTCAAAATTTATCCCTTTATAAGTGAAGAAAAGAAAGGTAAGAAGAAAGAGAGAGGAAAGAAGAACATAGAAAAATAAGAGATATTTGAGTTTCTTTATAGATTTTGAAGATAAAATAAGCGGCAGAGACTAAAGTGTAAAGATAGTCGAATGCAATAAAGCCTTTCGTCTTTGACTTCTATCCAATTCTCCAAGAGGAGCTACAAATCTAAAGTTTTTAGTCAATTGCAAACTGAAAACGACCCTCAAGAATCTCGTGTGACGTTACGCTCCCGAATTAGCCGAATGAGTTTAGAGAAGGAACTAAATTTAAATGAGTATATCTAAACATAGAAGACGTATCCCTATTGAGATAAGTAAACATTAAACTAACGTAAAACTGGTTACAAAGTGGGCACTTCAGATCGGTGTTAATCGCGTTACTCGATACATTTTCGGAAATCCAAAATAAACATCGTCTCCCAAATGGAGGATAATTAACAGAATATAAAAAGAAACGAGGACTTTATCAATAGAATATTATAAATTCAAAACACTCACTTTGAGCGAAAGGGTTAAAAATGCACATGAAAGGTCCTAGAACGTACATGGGTTCTGTCAAATCGTTGCACAGATGTACCCACATGCAGGTAAGACAGATCAACAAGTCAGCAACTGCTAGGTTCATCAGGTATATGTTGATGGTGGTACGCATGGAGTTGTTGAGACTTACGACGAAGACGATACCCAAATTACCCACTATAGTGGCACACATTAACAACACGTAACTCACGATTTTTGCGTACTCCTTCCACGTGAACTCTCTAAGAGAGGTATCGCTAGGGAAATCTATAGAAGAGAAGTTGAGATAGAGCCATTCCGATTCATTGCACCCTTTATCCTCCATAGCTGGGGATATAAAATAATCGGAAGCACGACACCCCGAGCGGATGTGATGGTGGGCCTCGTGGCTCGCTTATAAACGCGGAAGGTCAGGCGCGCGCCACTACACATTTCTCTTATTGGTAAATGTTCGGATGACGTCATTCGGAGTCTCCTCAACTTCCTATCGATCCGGTATGAGTTAAGCGCTCTTTCCACCGCTAGCGGATATTATAGAAACTATCATAGTATCGATATACAGAAGAAGGATTGATATAAATGCACGAGAAGTTATAAAAAGCTTAATTTGAATTGGTAATTATTATTTTAACTAATGAAGAAAATTAAGTTTATTTATACTCTACACCTTATTAAGTGAGGATATATTTTTCTACTTTAAACTGGATTTGGCTTTTTTTTAATAGTTTATATGTTGTAGAATTCACAGTGGAAAAAAAAAATTAAAATTTAGCAGAAAGATTTCGACCTTGGATATAATTGAATGACGTCGAGCCAAGTATTAATAAATATAAGACATTCGTCTCAGACAGCAACGTCATTCAATCCATTAAAATATTTATGAAAGGGAGATTCTCATTTCGCTTCGCTGATTTTTCAATATCTCTGGGATGCGGGAACGAATAATAATAAAAGTACCGCTCCTATGTGGATAAATGATACAAGAAAGACTAATACAAGACAAAATTTATACCGAATTTGTAGTGATAAAGTTAATATATATCCTCACCTGTACGTGTTCACGTTTCCTCCCCCTCCATCATATAAAGGGGGAGGAGACGAAGAGTGAACACGTGCAGTAATAGAAGATATTTACACCTGAAGGTTGAACTTCTCGCTTTACAATCGCACTCAACACGAATGCCAGAACAGAACGGAAGTCGGAAGAAAAGGGAAGAATAACACATCGCTGCGATGAATCGACACATCATTCTCTTCCTCTTAATTATTAAAGGGAAAGAGAATAATGTTGTTGATTTATTAAGAAAGTGTATTTTATTACAAATTTCTCACCAGTTGCATCTCGCTCTATCGATCCAATGTAAGTAGAGAGTCGGGGTTCGTTCGCTGATCTAACCTCGTTACGTCACAGAGAAAGACGTCATAAAAAATATAAACGTCAGAGTGAGGGAGGAAGCTAATTAAGTAATTATTGGATGATATGTTATTACACTTCGTCAAATTGATTCGCTTTAGAATTTATAAAAATTCTAACAACGTCAGAGTGAAAATTCGATACGTCAAAAAAGACGTCACGTGCCGTTATTACAGAACTAAGAAAAACTGCAAACACATGAAGTTCATTATCTGTTTATTCCGTTGAAGATTTAAAAAATAAAAATCTAATTTATTCACAAATGAATATCAATTGCATCCTTAATATAAGTTATACAAAGCGATAAACAACCTTTAAAAAGGAAATAATTTAAAAAGTTTTTAATTCTCGATAGATAAATTACTTGAAAACTACGTCAATTATTTGTAAATTATATCTTATATTGGTGTCTATAAAAAGAACATTTCAAAAAATAATAATTAAGGTTAAGAAAAATTTAATAAAATAATTTTAGAATCGCAACAATTAAACTTATCTGGAGTGTTTTAAAAATAACTTTTATTCACAGTTTATATCCTTAACCTTTCCTAAAATTATAGAAATTTGAATTATTTACCACTTGAATTTCCATCATTTGACATTTGAAATCCTAGAAATTCAAGAAAAAACTTCTCCGAATTTCTAGGATGTCATTAGATAAATGGATTTCTTTATTTATACACGTAGGAAATTTACTGTATTTGTTCTACTAAAAGCTAATTTTCTATCTTCGATTTTTCTATGTAATTTTTTGATATATTTGCAGAATGACGAAAGAAATCGTCTCTATAAAGTTCAGAAACATTTCTTTTGGGTTATCACATATATTATTTTGTTTCGTGCAATGATAATAGAAAGAGGAATATATTAACTATATATTCGGAATCTAAGATAATATAAAAACCAATCTAATCATTTTAATAAATCTGGTGTGAAATGATACTAAAGATAATATAATGACAAACAATAGAGCTTCGGAGCGGAGCGAAATCTGTCACTTAAATGTCATTCGTTTACTTTGTAAACAAGTCGTTTAATTACATTATAATACCAGGATATAAAATGAATTACTTAATTTGCTAATCATTACTTATGATCGATAGAAGGATAAGTATTAAAATGAGGTGTTAAAAACTTACTTTTACTGAAGATCTCGAACTTGCACATGATCGGACCTAATTGATACTGGTGTTGATTTTGAAACAAGCGAACGATGTGGATCATCATACAGAAAACTGCGATGAAGATATCAGCCGTGGCCAAATTAACTAGAAACTTTCCTGTAGTGTTCTTGAGAGAAGGTTCGAAACATCCCGCTAGAACCACGAACAAATTGCTTCCTATTGTCCAAAAAATTAAAATGCAACATACGGTCAGTCTGAGGTAGTCGAATAAGACTAGAACCCTTTCCTTATCTGCAGGGAACGAGTGATTAGTCCAAAATTTCACTTCGCTAAAATTCTTGCACCCGAGATCCATTTTGATTCGAGTCGACACCAATCCTGCGAATGTTACAAGTTACGAGTAGACTGACGAGTGACGAGCGCGTGGGATCTCGGGAATGAATTACTCATCTCGATACCGAGGAGAACTTTCTAACAACACTCAGTTCAGGGTCGAGTGTCAATGACGTCGACAGGACGCTCTTTGTTTACGATACTCGGTTTCGATCGTTAATAATTATAACACGTGGAAAAGGATATCAAGTGTTCGAAACAATTCTCTCAGAAAACAAGCTAATTTGTTTAACCTTTGTGTCCTTCGATACTTAACTATAGACATCCCTGAAGTAGTTGTTCGACGCATAAGAAGAGAGAAGATTAAAAAAAAAATAGAGTACAGTACATTTTATAATCTTATAATAAAAGTTTCTCGTCGTCAAGAGTGAAGAATGTCGCTACTAACACGAAACAGAAGGTTTCGTGTTAGTAGCGATAAGTTTGAACATATTTATCCTGGTTATTCCTGTTGAAGCTCCTTAACTAGTGACAAGAATAAGTGAACTTTATATTTTCGACTGAAAAATACGTCTTTCTTAACAGAGAAAATAGTCAAATGTAATCTTTATAGAGCAAAATTTGAGTATATTAATTTACAGAATTTATAAATGCCTGTGTTTTTTTTAAATCGTACATAAATATATTTTTATTATTATTTATAGTAAATTATGTTTTTGATGTATTCAAATAAACGTGTAAACAAATAAATATTTAGTATTTTTAGAAAGGAGGATTTTCATTTCCGTTGAGTTATTTGTTTATCAAGTTTCTTTCGGTTCATTTGTCCTTCGAACAGTTTTCGAATACACATTACAGACTTTGTTAAGACTTCTCTCATCTTCTGAGACGTGCTACATATTTATCATCTCACAACAACCTCTTACATATTTCATGTAAGGACCTTTTGATAAAGGAATGCGTCAAAGAAAGTCCATTACTCTCTTTTGTTCTTCCAGTCGAATCACGTCTTCATCAAAGCGTATTCTAGAACGTTACTTTTCAGTTTCTAAACATTACAAATATTTAAATTGAGAAATCTGAATTTAATTCTAATATATTTTCGTATTGGTTTTGTAACAGTTTCCTACGACTAATCCTGGAAAGTTTCTGGTTCAATTCTCCGATTCTCTTGTCGACTGAAGAATAAATCCTCGTCCATTATTTACGAATTTTTATTAAGATATTATGGGTAGAACATCTTGAATAAATTATCAAATGAATCAAACCTTTATTAGAAAACTATGTGCAGAACATAAGAGGGATTCTTCTTATTGAAGGACATGTAAGAGATTCCTCTCATATGTTCTCTTCGGCAGCTGTTATAGAGCTAAAAGAATTCTTTATAACCTCTGGTATATCTACATAAATGCTGTAAAGACGTTTTTTTTCTCCTAGTGTACAGTACATACGAAGGACCTTCATATTATAAAGGTATTTATTCTTCTCTAATTGATGTAACTCGAGTCTTTAGTTATAGATTAACCTAATGAATCTTGCTTGTTTCAATCTGAGAATTTCTTCGTTTTTAAAAAAGATTCACCGAATATTTTTAATAAATAATTTTAATATGCCAATAAATCCCGGTTACATCGCTTATGGATTATCGTAAAAATAGACAAATCGATGTAGTTCGACAGTTTGTTGCTAGCAAATTTCTTCTAATGATTCTGTTTTTTTTTCTCTCTCTCTCTTTCTCGAGTCGAATCGATAGAAAAATATGTCTCTAGCTCTATAAAAATTGTACTCTTGAAAAAATTCTTTGGTTATAAAGACCAGAACTGATCCAAGAGGATTGTTGTTTTGCTGATTTTGCTTTAATTTTTTCTTTTAAAGTATACTAAAAACTCGGAAACGTTCTTCGGTTTACTATAAACTGATGTTGAATCGACAAAAATTCTATAAATAACCAAACAATAATAATCCAAAAGAATTGTTTAATTTTATACATTAAATTTTAATATATTATATTCCATAAATGTGTTTCTCTTTTCTCTTGTTTTCGAAGGATTAAACAGCGATTCCTCCTTTATCTTTATGGAAGAAAAGAAATTTTCTCTTGATCATCTTCAGGACATTAACAATATTTCTCTTCTAAAAATTCTTTTGTTTAGGATTTGATTTTTTTAAGCTTTAAATTTCAAAAAATATACTTTTATCTGTCTGGACAGATAAATGTTACTCGAGTGTTTTTCTATATGGAAACATTTGTTTAGCTTTAACACTGACACGTTTCATGTGATTTATATCATTACTACAGACGGAAAACTTGGTTTAAACAAGTGTTATTCATTAGCTAAGGAGGTCACTTTGAGACGTTAAAAGATCGATTTACTATATAGAAACACTTTAAATTTGTTCGGATAACGTTTTATATTAATTTACAGATTATATTTTACTAATTCTTAACAATAAATTGTTATATTGGGTTACGAGAACTAAATATAATTAACTTTCATGCGTATAAAAATCATCAACTCCTATTGGAATTTGTATAATTTATCATTTTATTAAATGACTTTGCTTTAGAAATTTTTATTTATTAAAAATAGTAATTTTGTTTTTAATAAAAAAACAAAATGCTCTTCGAGAATAAATTCGAATATTTTCTTGCAAGTAATTTTTTTTTAAATAAAGAATAAGTTAAAAATCAAGAAAATAAATATGTGTCAGGATACTTTATATTGATGATGGAAAACAGCA